GCACCACTGCTTCCAGTCTACTTCCCAGCCTGGTTAAATTTTATGTCCTTTTCCAACACTCCAGGTTGCTCTGCAATATCACAGCTTTCGTCTTCTAAACATGGACATTAGCTGCCATGAGAGTCTAAGAGCCAAAAGCCATGACCTTCCCTCAGCCTTCTCGAAAACATGCTCCTCCTTATCTCCTTTTCCAATCTCTTTCTGCAGCGATCACCTCGGAAACATAGCTGTCAGGAGTGGTTGGGCCTCAGGAGGAATTCCATGGTAACCAAGGAGAACAGGAATAACTAAGAAGGAAATGAGGGCTGCGTTCAAAGTTAGCTCAGCTGAGATGCCCAAGTTACCGAATCTCCAAGCAGAACGAGTAGGGCAACACAAACCCGTTCTCTGGTGGTACCCAGGGATCTGCGTATTCTCACCTTGTGTTCCCATGAAGGCAAGCAGGAAGCTGGATGTGAGAACCAGCACAGGGTGAGTGACTGAAAGGAGACGGTGCTTGTCCCTTGCAGACAAACCAAATTACACATTACTTCTCTCATTACAACATAGTCCGGCTTGAACATTTTTAAAAGAAGCCTGCTAAGCATCTGCTGTGCAGTGAATGGACTACAGCGGTGAGCTGCAGTGGTCCCTGGAAAGACATCAGCAACTGTGCTTGTGAGACATGAAATGTGATAGGCTTATGAGACATGAAATGTGATAGGCTGTGCCCTTTCCCCATCCTGCAAGGGAATGAGCGGGGAAGGGGAACTGGGCTGAGAGTTCTACATCAAACAGTCTTCACTCTTCTTCCCCTAGTCTTCCTCTCATATCTCTGCTTAGCCACTCAAATGGGAATCTGTTAATTTTTCATTTAATAAAAGAAACTGGGGCAAGTAGCTCAGTCTTCCCAGCCTGGACCCAAAGTGTCAAACTTTCCAGATGTAAAAATTCCCTCTGTCATCTTTGGTAGACAGAGAGTCTAGTATCCTCTTCAAACAATTTTTGTTTCACTTTTCTAAATCATATCGCTGGAGTCAGCTTAGGAGCGATCTCAGAGAACAAGCTGATCTCTCATATATTCCACTCCTTCCTCACAGCTGTTGAGCAGTGCCACTCCTCACACAACCTTACGTTCTGCACGTGGAAGTCGGGCCCACTCTGACACAGCACCTGTGGGTTCTGCCTGTTTCAATACTGTGCAAAACACGGCTGAGATCAATATACCAAAAATTTCCACAACTCATTCATTCTGTAATTTTGGCCATTCTATTCCTTTACTCCTTAAAATGAAATTAATTTTCCACAGAAAATTTTACATTAGGGGCTGGGGAGATAGTTCAGCTGCAAGCCAGCCGATACAATATCTCAATAAATCTTGCAGCTCAGGTTTGGAATTTGACTGCTGAAAGACTCTGCTGTCAAATCTAACTAGAAAAAAGAAAAAAGAAGAGAGGAGAGGAGGGGAAGTGAGGGGAGAGAAGGGGAGGGGAGGGGAGAGGGAAGGAAAGGGAAGGGAAGGGAAAGGAAAAGGAAAAGAGAAAGGGAAAGGGAAAAGGAAGGGAAAGGGGGAGGGGGAGGGGAGGGGAAGGGAAGCGAGGGGAGAGGGAAGCAGAAAGGAAAGTGAAGGGGAAGCGGAAGGGAACAGGAAAGGGAAAGGAACCCCAAAGAGTCAAATGGTTAGCAGTCAAAGAAATTTCGCCCTTTTCAGAGGGGTACCATGTAAGATTGCATTTTTTCCTGGCTCTGCCATTTTTCTTTCTGTCACCTTGGTGACCTTGCATCACGTTCTCTGTTGCAGAGGGCTCTCCTTCAAATTTCAGTGCGTTTCCTGGGCTCCTAGTAACACACACCCCTCTGCCAGTGCTTTATCCCAGCAGTCTGAGTCTTGCTCTCAAACTCCTAGCTGTGAACGAACTATGAGCATGAATTGGCAAAATTTTTCAGGTCCTCCCAACTTTGTATGATTTCTTGGCATCTAGAGCTTACACCAGCTGGATGAATCCCCTGCTCTTATCAGAAAGAGACTTTCTACATGGAAATGGACAGGTATAGAGGCTTGGAGATATCCTCAATGAATTCGTTTCACAGCCAAGCAACTGGCCAAGTCAGTCTTGCCCAATTACCCAAACTTATAGTCAGTATTTTTCAACTTATTCTCCACACGAGAGGACCTCTTAAAATATCATTAAAATAAAATTTCAAATTCACCCAAATGATCTGAGTCATATCTGAAATAAAAGAAAACAGGGACAGATAATAAGTGATGGAAGAGAACTAAAGGTGGAAGAAGAGAGAAGTGTGAATGGTCTGCAGAACTGAAGAATTTGAGAACTACGGCTGGCTTACTGCCTACTTTGATCGAGAATGCTCTCTTCCAGTAGAGGCTTTCTGTGAATAGTTAAAGAGTGTTTTCTAATACATCAAGCTTCTGTGCAGCATAATATGCTTTCTGAAGGTAATATTCAATTTAGAAGCTGAGTATGCTGTAAAGTAAATCTTACATCACAAAAGATGGACTAGTTTGTCATATCCCTTCCAACAGAGGTCATTATGAATTACAAGTCTCGGTGGTTTTCAGCCAATAAACCCAGAAGAACTAGCTCTACTTGACATGGAAGAGGAGGATGAGGTCCAGCCTGCCCCATAACAGGTTGGTTCATTAAATTAATTAAATATCACACATCTCTTAATGGTCTTAACAGTGTCCCAGAACCCTCCAAATTATTACAAATGATTCACCCTGACTATGCCACACCACGGCCCATATTTACAAATAATGACTTTTAAATTTTCACTTGCTTAAGGCAAGGGGATTTTTAAAAACAAAATTCTGTGAAATTCTAATTTGATAAAAGATGAAATCCAATAGGAAGAATGGTCAATAGTTATTCTCTATATTCAGTGGCACAACCAAGTATCTCCAGGAAAAGAGAGGATGGAATTGGAAACGGTTTGTTATGGTTTGTGTCTGGATGTCCCCCAAAAGTCTCATGCAGTCATGGGGCGGGCTTTTGGAGATTATGATTGATTCATGGTCCAGTGTTTGGATTATGGGTGTGAGTGCTACACCCGCCCTGGTGCGGGCAGTTCGCACACAGTGTAAGGGAGACAAAGAGGCTGCTTGCCACTGCTGCTCCCTTTTGCTCTTCTGCTTTTGCTGTCTTCCACCATGAGCAGTTGCTCTGTGCCACGTGCCCTTTTGCCCTGGAGCCAGCCAAGTATGAACTGAAACCTCCACAAACTGTAACCTAAATAAACCTTTCCTTCCTTAATTCTGGGTGTCGGGTATTTTGTCCCAGGAACGAGAGGAAAGTAACCAAGACACTGTTGTTCTTTGTCCTTTGTGCAATTGGCATTCTCAGTGCCCCTGGCACTTTTTCTTTTTGGTGTTTGATGCTTTGAATGATTTCTTGAGTTAAGCCCTATCCATTCTTTGACAGCCTATTCAAAAAACATGCTCCCGCTATAAAATACTTTGGATCATTCTGACCAGATATAATTCATCTGTGCTTTGAATTTCCTATACAACTTTGGTTATTAATAATCAAAAAGAATAAAAGTAAATCAGTAGCTTGCTCTGTGCCAGCCGCTCTTCTAAGTGCATTGCCTGAATTGACCTAATCTTCTCTCATAGGTTCCTTCACTGTCTCTGAGGCACAGAGCAAGACTGAAATCCATGACCTGGCTGTAATAAATGAAAATAGGGGTTGTGGATACGGCTCAGTGGCATAAGTGCCTGGCTGGAAAGCTCAAGATCATGAGTTCGATCCCCGGTACCAGAAAAAAAAAAAAAAAAAAGGAAAGAAAACAGAGTCCAAATGCTTAAATATGTCATGCTGCCTCTCTACATAAGCATTTGTTACGTTTCAGATCAAGAATTACTCCGCAAAACTCTAAAGTGCTTGGAGGCAGGGCTTTTGGAAGGTAACTGGATCCAGGAGAATTACAGCTAACTTGCACTGGGTAGATGGGGACTGTTTGGAGCTGGGACTGTAACCCAGAAGGGTCTGTCTCCCTCTCTGGCTCTTCCCTTCTCTCTTGGCTTCCTGACCACCATGACACGAGCAGGTTCTCTCTCCTAGACCCTTCCACCATGCCATTTCTGTTTGGGAGCCCGTGGACCTCACGGTGCACCCATGAGACGAAATAAACCTTTCCTTCTTTAAGCTGTGGGTGCCGGGCAAGCTGTGTCAGTGGTGAGAAAGCGGTGATGACAGCGTTTACGCACTTTTATTCTTAAGACAACTCCTGCGCTGCTCGTTCTCTCTGCCCCACGGCCCCACTGCCATTGTTACCTTCAAACTTTCCCACACCATAACCAGATTACAAATTTGTGAAAACAGCAATCCTTGCTGCTAGCATTTGTACTTCATGAAGTACCAGCATCTGCAGAAATAAGCGCCCAATAAATATTGCCCATTTAATTAAATACTAATAAGACAATAATATTGATTATATACACAATAATATATAATAATAATTATATACACAATAATATTGATTTATAAATGCTTGAGACTACTGGTTTCATCACTGGAACATTTTTACAGCCTTAAAAGAAGTATCTCCCATTCTGTTTCATGGGCAAAGAAACACAACCGAATTGCGATTACCTTCCTTGCTGCGTCCCTGTGTAAATCCCAAATTCCTGCTATTTCCCCTGCACTATATTAAAAAAGAAGTTGTAAGATGATGTGAAAATAGGCCTTTCCAGCAAAACTAAATACAAGGTTATTTATAAGTTTAAGGTTGTTTTGAAGAAATCTGTTAAGATGAAGCCTGCTAGCTTATGAGATGTGTCTAGTGATTCTTCTACAGATTTTTCTCCAGGAACTAAGGAGGCAGCATCATTGTATTATGCTGTCTAACTGCATCCCCTTTAACACAGAAACATGTAGCAAGGAAACATCCAGAAATGGCGCCCAACTTATGATTAGCAAAGGAAACACCCAGCCCTGATTTGATGATAGAAACACAAAGGGGTTCACCAGCCAGAGCCCTGGGCTGTGGAAACTGACCTGCAGTTAGGTGTGCCGCATGGACAAGGACTTGGACCCCAGGCTTCAGCTCAAAGTGCACTGAGTTTTGGTTGAGCTTGTGGATCAGTGCTTCTGAAATCTGAAAGAAGAAGTTTTATGGTTAAGCCACCAGATTTTTCACAGTGACGATAAATAAATAGACTGAGAAATATCCAACTGTTTAGCACTGCAATCTAGTACCTAGACTAGCCCATGAGTTACACTATGAGCAGGCACATAGTTCACAGGTTTAATTATATAATTAATACATGTGTATATCATTAGCTTAATATCTAATATACTATCTGATACAATTATCTAATGATATATAACATTTTATTAATATGACAGATAATATAATTATATAACATATAATTATATGGTTTTATCTGTGAATTATGTAAAGGAGTTTTATATGATCTGATTTCTTTACTCCAGAGTATGTATATATTTTTAACCATGGCCTGACTTATACTCTAATCATTACACAATAAGACAAATTATTAGTCAACAGGATATAAGATAATTTCTGATCATAAAAGTATCCTGTTTTACCTTAGAAATGTCACCCCAGCTTGTTCAGAAAGCATTTGTTATGCAGACATAGACTTTTTTAAAAAGCTGGCATTGCAGCTCAGTGTGAAAGCCCTGGGTTCATTCTCCAGTACCACCAAAAAAAGGAAAAAAAAAATAAAGAAAAAGACATGCAAGTCACACATTGTGTGAGATTTTTATATCTCTTTCACTTCGCTGTTCTTCCCGAACCGTACCCTATGAGTTTCACAGAACAGGTACTTTATTACTATTATTGAATAGTAAGTATTGCTCTGCTGAAATTCTGAAGGGCACAGTTGAAGCAAAGGCAGCCACAACTTTGGCAAGATCTTGCCTAAGCCTTGCTCTGTGTGTGTGCAGACCAGCTAAGCCACTCAGGACTGCTGCACGTGCTGCGTCAGACTCACAGAGTTCCGTGTCATGGAATATTTACCCCAAGCATGCAGCACAGACCCTGGCTTTGAAAGAATCAGTGTAACACTTTAAGACACACTAAAATTCTGTTCATTGTGTAGCGGAGGAATGTGCTCTGTTTGCTCACATTTTTTAGGAATTTAAGAAAATCTATGAAGGCTAAAACACTCTCATTTTTTAAAAAACCGGGTGCCCTTGCCTTACTATTTTATTATAATCAATTTTGTATTTCTTCTTTTCCCATTTGGATTTGCTGTTCCATTCTGTCTACTGAATTACAAGGTGACACCTCTAATCCCTGTAACAACTCAGCAGGCTGTGATGGCTTGGTGCCCTCGCTCCCAGCCCTTATTGATGTGGATGAGCTTTGCAGAGTAGGGTTGCACCCACCCTTGGGTCTATCACAGGCCCCGCCTACCAGATGTTGTCATTTGGCAAACCACGCCTGAAAACAGACTATGTTAAATTAAAACTGAATTGAAATCAACTTTTCCTCTCTATTAAGATACTTCTTTCTTGAACATTGAGAATCTTCCAGAATGGTCTAGGTTTACAGACAGAATGGATTTCTAACAAGGAGTGCTGCAAATGGGCTAATGAGCTCCCTCTCTCCCTCCCTTTCTCTCTCCCTCCCTCTCTCTCTGCCTCTCTCTCTCTCTCCCTCTCTCTCTCTCTGGTAGTACTGGGGATGGAGCCCAGTCTGTGCACTGAGCTATATCTCCAGCTCTTCTATTTACTTAATTTTTTAATCATTTATTTATTTGAGACAGAGTCTTTCTAAGTCACTAAGTTGCCGAGGGTGGGCTCGAACTTGCAATTCTTCACCTCAGCCTCCTTCGTTGTGGGGATTTACAGGCATGTAACCCCATGTCCAGGTCCACTGTACTCTTTAATAAATTCCTTTCCTACTTTGTTTTTATCATTCAGTTGGCAGCATTTTCTAGACATCTGATAATAGATTTCTATTAAAGGTCATTCACAAAGATTTTGTCTGTAAAATGCACATACCCAGTTAATGTGTTAAGGCTCATATACATGTATATATGAGTATACATTACAAATACATACATATATACACAAAATATTTAATTCCCATACAAAAGACCTGTCAAAAGCAATTAAAAAACAGAGCTGTTTTATAGAAATTATCCATTGACAAAAGGGAACTACATGTTTGGAAGATAGTAATTCCTCACTTCCAGCCAGGTAAAGTGATATTTATTTCTTATCCTTGCAAATGGCTTTTTCTCAAGTGAGTGATATAAATAACTAAACTAGAAAATAGAATTCATCAGAACAGCATATTTCTAATTTATAGTCTCCAGGAGAGTCCCTTTTGAAAATAATTAACTTCCTTGATGGGATGTTTTATAGCACTGCTTCAGAGGCTTTATCTGTATCATTTACAAAACTAAGCATGCTGTGCAAAAAGAGCCAGTAACAAAAACTACGTTTCATGCCTTCCACTTGCATCAAAGAACATTCAGTAAAGAACACAGACTCCAGGGGAAAGAAATTAAGCACAGGAAACAAAACTAAATGAAATTTACATTCCATTCAAGAATAACCTCAGTTAGAAACATGCACATTTCTACTCAAGTAAATTAGTAGCAAACTGGTGACAGATTTTGACAATATTTTAAATGGTTAGCATGGCACTTGCAGAATTGCTTCTCCTACATCATGCTCATCAGATCAGAGCTGTTACATGCATTTTTAAACTATATTATAGATGCATATTATTTTGGTAAAGTTGCTTAATTCTGGCTACTTTGTGGAACAGTGCATGTCTTAGGTGTTACAGCTGGTATCTCCATATACTTGAACACAGAACTTAAGTAAGTTTACCCACTTAATATGTGAAAAGTTGAGGCTAGACTTCAGCCTTGATTACCAGCCCTATGGCATTAAAAATATGTTCCCGAGCCTGTTGAAAAGGAGACAGCAGAAGATCTAGAAAGAGGACTGAGCTTAGGGAGATTTTAAAAATGCAGCATGGTATTACTTATGCAGCCACTTCTGGTTCACAAGTGATGTGCACAGGTTTGAACACCAACCCCAAAGCCAGCGGCAAATACCGCTCAAGGCATAGGCTAGTGAAGGCGAACCTTTTAGAGCTTGCAAGGATACAAACAACCTGCTGCAGCAGTTTGGCCTTAGGTTCGCCACCACTGGAATATGCCATCCCTCAGGACTGACACAGTCTTTTCACTAGCTAATACACTTTGTAATATTCAGCGAGTGTGCTATGAAAAAAGCAGAAGGAACTGCCCTCTACAGAAAAATGTGGCAGAAGCTTAAATGACAAGAGCCAATGCTTGCCTGTAAAGCCTCAAGTGAAATAATCTGTGATTGTGGGCAGAGAGAACCTGCTGAAGCAAATTCAATTTCTTTCTTTGACTTTTTCTGGCCCGAGAAAAGTGTGTCTTTTAGCAAATTTAATTTATCCTGTATATTGTCATCCTTCTCCTGCTGCCCTCCTACGCAGTCCATTTCCTATTCTACTTAGGCTAAACAATCACGGCCCTAGAAAAACATATTATTCTTGGTACCTGCCTGTTCAGTAGGATATGCCTATGATTCAAACGCAGCCCACATTTCATTTAAACTGCAGAGGATGGCAGGGACACAGTGCAAATGTAGAAAGGTTACCATCCAAAGGATACTGTGGGAGGGACGTGCTATTAAAAAAAAACACCAGTTCTCCTTGTTTTCTTGCACACAAAAGATGAAGATTGAGTATAGTAGCCAGAATCCACTAGGTTAGGCTGAAGTCAATAATTTTCAAGGGCTGGAATCAACAGGTATCCTCCTTGTTCATCCATCACATCCGCTGCGGGAAGTAGCTCATTATGACCACTCAGGGAACTGGGCTGGTGGAGCTGCCACCTCAAATATTTCCACTCACTACATGTTGGAGAGCAGAGGGAGTTTCAAGTCTCTAGCACTGACTTCTTCTGCTGGGAATGACACATTTCACATTTCCCCCAAGCTCACTGGCCTGCGTAAGTTGGAGTACTGTCCTGCCTGCACTCAAAAGGCCCGGGAACATTTAGTCGAGCACCATGATGCTTTTTAATGAAATCATTCAGACAAAACACTCTGAGATTATTATCAGAATGAAAGCATCAAACTTTGATACATGGGAAAAGTTTAAGAACAGCAGAGCAGTTGGTAAATTTATGAAACACAGCTCAAAGAAGGGGTACAGCGTGAAGACAGCCATTTGAAATGGACTTTGGCAAAAATATCAGGTTCAGGGCTGTGGCAGGCCCAAATACAAATGCTTATTCATGAAGCGTGCAAACTCCAATGAACTAAGCAACACCCTGGCACCATGCTTAGACACAACCTAGCCTGAGGCAATCTGGTTGCTGACCTGATACATCAGTCCTGATCCTGTCATATTAAGTTCCCTTAGAAGAGCACTGAGGAGTCTCCCTGTGATATTCCGTGGAGGAAAGTCTCTCCCAGCTCCTACAACACCTTTTCCTGACTGAAGTCACAGGAGAGCATGAAGTCAACTATCAAATTCTATTTAATCCTAGCTCACTCTGTCCTATTGCTTCTTGGAACAAAAATTCAGCTTGATTAAAGTGTGAAAGGTGTTTTCTAGATGATACCAGAAGAAGCAAGCTGGCCAGAAGTATTTCTTTCCCCTGGATTCAGCACCATTGCCTTGAAGTTTCTCTGTCTCCTGTCATATTCTCTTTGACCAGCTCTTGCCCACTCAGCTTTGCCTTTAGCCTTCCTCTTTCAGTGGCTTTCCTCATGAGCTCCAGAGCACACTGACCGTCCAAACACTTCCCTTCAAGTGCCGGGCTCATGGGGCAGACCACGCGGGCACACAGACATGGTCTCAATTAATACTTCTTTTTCATACTGAAAGTTTAGTTTCTTGAAATGTTGCCAATTTCCATTCCATTCTCCGTCCTGCCTTGCCTTTCTCCTTTGAGTTTTGGAGTTTGCATTGGTCATGTGTGAAAAATAATACAAACTGACAAAGAGGAAATGCATGATTGCAGCTGATATTTTCCCTTAGTCATTTGTTCCTTCATTTATTTATTATTATTTTTCTCTCTGTGTGTGGTACTGGGGATTGAACTCATAGCCTTGTGCATGCTAGACAAGCACTTTACTGCTGAACTGCATCCCCAGCCTCTTATTTATTTATTTCTTTATTTATTAATTATTCGTCCATTCGTTCACTCACTCATTCATCCACTCTTTCATTCATTTGGATGATCTCACGCACTTGAAGGATTCTCAAAGACAAAACACATGGGTTCCCTATCTCCTCAGCTCAGCATCAAAACCTCCACAGAGCCTGTGTTCTTCCTTCCTCCAGGAGAGGCAGCAGCAAACCTGTCACCCCCAGAGCTCAGGCAGAATCAGGAGGGCAGTGCTATAAAGCAGAATCAGGAGGGCAGTGCTATAAAGCTGCTCCACACTTGAGCAGCTGGCCTTGGCCCCTCAGGGCAGGAAGGCTTTTTCTCACTCATTTAAAGAAAGACTGGCAGAACCCTCCCAGACTGAGGTCCTTTGATTAACCTAGCCCATGCCGTCCTGATAACAGGGTCAAGTGCCTCTCACTGTGAGAGATTTTCAATTTGTTTCATAGACAAGATAGCTTGCTCCAAGCCAGCATCTCGGCTCCCCAGGGAGGGTTCTCAGAGGCAGCCTGGCCAGCAGAGCCAGGAGCCCTTTGCTAGGGCTTTAGCCTCGCGTTCTTCAGGCCCACTGGCCAGCATCCCAGTGCTTCCTGTGTATTCACAAGAAAGGGGCCAGAGCACTTTTCAGTTTCATGTAAGATTCAGAGTACAGCCTTCAAGGGAGGGGTTCGTTTCTGTTGTTGGGGTTTGCCTTGTGTCTGTCCTCAATTCTGCGTATCTTATTACAATGTCAGGCAGTGGTCTCTGCCTGCCCAGGATCTCCTGTCCCCTCTCCCTTCTCCTATCTCAGGACGCAGGCTGCCTTATCCACGTTGTACCTGTGAAAGTCCAACCCAGGGCCCTTGCTGGTGCTGTCGGAGGAGAGGCACTGTCCTTTCAGTGGGGTCATGAGCTGGCTACCTAGAAGCTGGACACAGCCTTGTTTTCTGTGGTGGACTCATCTTCACACAGCCTTCCCAAGGGGCAGCAAGGAGAGGAGATGGACAGAAAGGGATGAAAGGAAGTAATTTGTGGGCCATTTCGAGTGTCTCTGAGTTTCTCCATGACGGAAGTGTATCTCTGGTCGTCTAAATTAAATGAGCTCCTGAGTGCACTTCTTCTTACCCATTAAGTTGTCTACGTGACTAATTCAAAGGACAGGGAGGGAAGATCCATCCACGGAGAGAACGGCAGGTTCCCCGGATCCTCATTTCACAGAATCTCCTGGTCTTCTATGTCTTGGTCTGGTAAGTCAATTTCACTATTGCACTTTTAAATCAGGATAATAATATTGTCCGCACCTAAGGCACCACCTTCAAATGGACTTTGCGTGGCCATTGCATTTACTTAGGCTGGGATCTAAGAATAGACTGACATACAATTATTTTAATCAGAGTTATAATCTCTAGCTTGGGATATTATGTTCCTTTAAAAGTACGGAAGTACATCTTCTACATAATCTACATAACTTGCATATCATTAATACACATTCTCTCTTTTTCTTATGGTATTCATTTTCTTCTCCACTTTGTGACATTCCATTCACAAGTCTTTTTCTTTACCTCAGCATCCTCTCCCAACATGTCCTGACCATACTCAACAGTCCATTTAATGGGCCTAAACACATGCTTGCATTTTCCCGAACTAGTCACTTTGTAATAGGAACAGTAAGAGCCAAAAAAGCTAAAGAATTTGGGCAAAGACAGAGCAATCCCACAGGGTGTTTGAGCAGACTAAAGAAATGGCACAGCAAGGTACTCGGGCTCTACCAGAGGCTCGGTCAGTGACAAACGCAAAAAGTACTTTGTGCCCGAGTACCTTGCTGTGCCATTTCTTTAGTCTGCTCAAACACCCTATGGGATTGCTCTGTCTTTGCCCAAATTCTTTAGCTTTTTGGCTCTTACTTTCCTCAACCATAACATAAAATTGTGAAGATCAGAGCTCAAACTAGAAATCTGGTTTACATTTCTCAAACCTGTGATCTTTCTACCAGAATGGCTGCACTCCTTACATGGGGTCCAGATGGAAAGTCACGTAGCTTTTGAGCAAGGCCCCTGCCTGCAGATCACTGCTTGGTGATCTGGTTCTTTGATGGCTGTGAAGGATGACAGCACTCAGAAGAAAGAGAGGTGGAGGGGAAAAGCCCAGAGAAAGAGGTAGTCAGAGAAAGACACAGCCCTCAAGAAGCACGGGCCATTTCACAGATCCGAATTTCCCTTTCCTTTCCACAGTTCCACTCAAGTCGTCTAGAAAATTCTATGCTTTGTGAAGAAGCCTGGGAAGGGTGAGAGTAAAGATGCACAGATGTTTCAGTGCTTGGGAAATAGCTAGTTGTGACTCGCAGCTGCCTTCCATACACAATTATAACCTGAACGTCTTGGGAAACTCCTAAGACCTCTAGAGAAGGAACATCTGGAAGGCTTCAACCTTACGGGTCTTAGATAAGGATCTACTTCCCCTACAGTCTCAGCACTGTTGTGATTAAAAAACATCATTATTTTCTTTCACTAAATTACAGTGCAGATAGTAATTTGCAGAATGTAATGCAAAGCCGAGCCAGGGAGCAAGAAGCAGGTTCAGAAGCAAACTCAATGCATTACCTGCAGCCCACCCTCCAACTGCACTTCACTAGGAAGTGGGGTTCAGCAGGGTTTTTGCAGACAACTGTATTCTTCATTACCTGCACATGGAGAAAGTGAGAGTCTTCTGCCAGGGGAGGAAGAGGCAGCTGAAAGGAGGGTGCCTGCCAAGAGGTGGGCCCCGCTATAATTTGGGGTTGCTGCTAATGAGGAGGTTTTCAAGTCATTTTGGAAGAACCACAGCTCGTGTACTGGAGAGGTTCACTCAAAGTAAATTACAAGCTCCAAGTACTCCACACCCTGCACTTATTTAGTGGTTGAGAGGAATCCCCTTTAAAATCTACATTTCTAGAAGAACTGAGGAACCAAAATCAGTAGCTTTCTAAAGGAACAGCAGATCAAGACCGGTAATCCTTTTAACTCAATGGGTGAGGAATAAGATTGTAATCCCCACTCTAGAGATAGATGAGACTTTTAACACTAAAATGAGAGAAATTAGAATAAACCACAGCAGGGAAGTGGGAGAGAAACACACACACACACACACACACACACACACACATGCACGCACACACACACACACACGCACACACACGTATTCTAATGCTCCAGAACTGGTAGACAGGAGGAGAAAGTGGATTATCCTACAGCCTGTATGTGTTCCAGAGCCAATGATACTCATTTTATTATAAATAAAAATCAGATTTTCTTAATATGGTGATGATCAAGCAATTAATGATTTGTAAAAAGTCATTCCTTTTAAGAAAATATGCAGATGTCATTTGATTTGCATGGCAATTTATTTCTTTTTTTGGTGCTGAGGATCACATCCAGGACCACTGGGTTAAACCCTAGCCTGGACACTGTCCTGATGAAACTAGATAAAATAAGCAATATGCAGGCTCTTCCTCTGAGTACTAGTCACCACTTGCTCTTTTTATTTATAACATTGGACAGTTTCATGCTGGTACACACAGGTATGTCTAGCTCATAGTAAACACTGCAGAATATCCACCTCTGAATCATTCAGTCAGTACAGTAACACTCCCTCCAGGTGCTTTTTCGGGAGGCTGCAGGTGGGTCACCTGAGTATGGGTGGGAAATGGAGAACCAGAGAGACAAAGATGCCACAGGCGTGTGGTCCCCTCACTCTCCAGCGCAGACTCCGCAAGACCCCGGAGCGGCGGTGTGGGTGGGGCTGGAGCAGAGTAGCTCACTCTGCAGCAGGAAGCTGAACTCACTCCACGGGGACTCACCTGCTCCAGATCCTCAGGCGACCTTCTGTTTTCTCCTGTTGGGTCCTGGTAGGGCAAAACGAAGAGCTCCGCAGCAGTGGGCAGGCCCGGCAGCACGGCGACCAGGATGTGCTGGCTTGGAACCCCTGTAGCCTGAGGAGGAGACAGAGGTCCAGATGAGTCCTGCGGGAGCGCCAAAGGAGGAGGTGCCCAGGGTTCGGTGAGTGGGTGGGTTGAGGCCGAAGGCCCGGGATCCTTGGGGAATGGGAAAGCAGGCCTGGGACGCCAGGCAAGAAGACCATGAGAGGCAGCTCTGGTCTATGGGTTTGGGCTCAGAGTCAGGCAGGCTGAGACCTCATCCCGGATCCAGCCCTAGGAGACTTCTGCCTGGTGGTTTCTCCTCTGTGCCTGCCCTTCCTCAAATGAAAAGCAGGGCCAAGAGCAATGCTTGCATTTTTAGTGAGCAACTGGGAGGGTAAAATGAGTTTCAGGTGAGCATATTCTGGGACCTGTGTGTTAGCTCTTTCCCCTAGAGGAGGCCTGCAGGGGGACCTGCTCTCACTAACCCCTATCACCCACCCCTTGCTAACCCAGCCTCACGCTTCATCACCCCGCTGGCATCACTCTTCCAAGCCCCAGCCGCATCCTAACCCTCTCAGCGAACAGGTCTCCCCAAATCCCAGCCTGGGAGCCTCTCTTGCCTGCTCCACAGCACCAGAACCCAGTGTCAGCCCCACCTTAAGGAGCACTCAAGCCCTTCCCGTGGCCACGCTTACCTTCCTGTCACTCAGGGACTTCTCTGGTTTTGCACTCTCTGTGTCTTGAGCTGATTCCTTTGAATGCTTTCTCTAGATGATTCCCAAATCAGTAGTTGTAATCCCAATTTCCCTCTTTGTTGCCAGTCACAATACCACTTTGCTGTTCTTTTTTGTGTGTGTTGAGTGGGTAGTTTCCGGTACCACGAATCCAACTCACAACTTCGCGCTTGCCAGGCAGGCACTGCGCCGCTGAACTAAATCCCCAGCCCCTCACTTTGTTCTTGCTGGGCCTCCAGCAAACACATCACAAAACTAAGTTCTCATTTTCACCCTCAAAAATCTTTGTTTTTCATTTAGGCAACCGGCAGCGGGCCTTTCACAGACATCCCAACTGGAAGCCGTACACGCGATGCTACACTTTCCATCCCGTTAAATCTAGTCGTTTTGCAAGACCTTGAAAAGTTGATGTCTGTCTACACCAGTGTCCTTATAGTTCCTTCCTGCAAAGGGTCCACTGTTGGCACCCAGACTCAGCCTTTCTGGGCACTTGAGGTTTACGATGCCCTCCCATCTCCAGCAGGCAGCTGCGACCTCCAGACTCATCTCCCTGACCATGGATCCAGGTGGTGCTATCTTTTCTCCACTCCCAGAAAGCTGGGAGCTAGAGACGGTCAATGCAAAGCCACTTGGAAGTGCTGGTGATACGCATGAAGCTTGTGTGAATGTGAAGCCACTGAAGGTAACACCCTCGCTCTATGCCTCTTTTCTCGACACCATCATTGGCTCCTGTACAACTCCTGTTTTATGTCCCTACTACACTGTAAACTCAGAGCTTGAGTTCAAGGCATCCTCATGCTACACAAAAATGTTTACTGAATGACATTCAATTTAAGATTGTCACTGGGACTTCTCAACAGCAAAAGCCAATTTGAAAAGGGCACAGCAGCCAGTGTTACATCAAATTCTATCACAAGATGAGCAGGAAGACACCTACACACAAGCTGAATCTAAGTTGTACATCCTGTGGGGCATATGGGGCTACACTTGGCAGTGCGCCTCTGGAGGACTCAAAAAGGAGACCGAGTATCATTAGGGACCTCAAGGACAGGGCGGATGCTGGATGCTGGAGACAAGAGGCTGAGTCAACTGCTGCTTGGGATGGGGTCACCAGGGATCCTTGGAAACTGGAAGGTGTTAAATACTTCCCCAGCACCTTACCCTCACACCACCATCACCTTGTGCTGGGGATGTTGATCCAACACATTTGTTCTGCACTTAGCTGGTCAGAATATGCACTGGCCTAGAAATATTGATGAGCAGTAATTTCTAGCCCTTTGGACAGCTGCTGGGGAGGTAAAGGCCCAGGACATCTGATCCCTGGACAGTGAGCAGAAAGAGAAATCAGCCCAGAAGGCTGGTCATTGCTGAGTTAAGGCTTGGTTGATAAATTGCCTAGGGGAGTCAGACAGCTGTCTGGGAGACCTATAGGGACACAGCTTCCTAGAGCTGAAGGCAGTGAGTTCATTAAAGCACACAAGTACTCTCTCTTAAACAGCAGGGGAGAGAAACCAGTTGTCATTCCAGGGACAGCTCCAAGGGCTGGGCCCTACTGCTATTAGTCTTGAGGGCTAGGAGCTGCGCCTCCTGGTGGCCATAAGGTTAACTATTAATAATATCCCTCAGGATAGCTGCGGGTCATAAAACCAAAGATGAGGGGCTGGGGATTCAGCTCAGTGGCACAGCGCCTGCCTGGCAAGCGCAAGGTCATGAGTTTGATTCCCGGTACTGGAAAAAAAAAAAGAAAAAAAAGACAATAAACCAAAAAAAAAAAAAAAAAAAACAAAGACGAGACAGCAGGTATTCAGTGCCCCACGAAAATGCCTTCTCTCCATCCAATATTCCACCTACCCTTGTTTCTCCCCATAAAAATGCCAAAGGTAGGCATAGACCGCAACAGTTAGGAAATCCCAAGATGAAGATCTTGACTTTCATGCTCTGACTCCCTGACCCGACTGCCTGCTCTCGAGCAAGTTAGTTGATGTCCCGTGGCTGACCTTCCTCACGGCTGAAACGGGCATAAGCACGATACCCACACTGGAGCTTAGTTTTGGGTTAAATGTGGATAAACAATGCAAAGCACTGAGAGCAGCGTCTGGATCGCTGCCACAGCTGGAATGGCCACCAACAGTGACGGTGCGGGGAGGAGGCCGGGGGCGGGAAAAGCCTTCTCTTTTCAAGGACAGGCATCTAAGTGCCTTTATTCCCTTGTCGCTTTGGAGGAGGTGGCACCGTGTGCTGGCAGCAGGAAGCATGAGCAGAAAGCTACATGGATTTTCCTTTTGGGCTGAGAAGGGGCCTCAGGAAGGAGCGTTCATCTCCGATTTCCCGAGATCAAGCGGCACCAGGAGCAGCCAGCTCCTCTGCTCAGTCGGAGGCGGCATCTGCAAGGAGGGGGTGACCGGCCATCTCGGTACTTGCCCGGACAGCTTCCGAGGCTCCGGAAGTTACATCATGCCGCAAACAGCCCGATGTTAGACCCAGGCCCTTCCTTCCAGCTTCACGCTCTGTCGCCTATTAACTATGAGGAGTCTGGGGAAATCCCTTCTCCGGACCTGTAGCTGCTTCCACAAACCGAGTCGGCACCGGAAAAGGATGTCTTCAGAAGAAGCGGGACACAGCTATGACTCCCGTCACGTCCCAAGTGCTGACTGTCCAGTTGTGTCCTTGGGAAGGCACTTGGGACCTGGGCTGCTCCTACTAACTAGTCACCCTTGGGGACTGCTCGTAGGCGGCGCCCCTTCCTGGTGGTGCACAGCAGCTGAAGATGCACTCGCACACGGCCACCTGCGAACTCTGCTGGGCGACTGTCACGAGTGTCCCTTCCTTCTTCTCTAAGCAGAATCAGCTTCCGAGGCAGCGAGGACCGGAGCTGTCACGTTTGCCACCCCCATGCCTCCCAAGCCTGTGGGGGTTGGACTCCACCTTGAGGACCAGCCTCAGAGCCAGGCTCTCTGTAAGCCCCAAATCTTCACAGCCCCTCCCTGGGATGTTCTTCCAGGACAGACAGGAAAGGGGTCCAAGTCAGGAAGAAAACTGTGCGCTCACCTGTACCAGGGCCTTCCTGATGACGCGGCCGATGTCCCTCCTCCACTCAGGGATGTCTGGGTTGTAGTCATCCAGGTTGGGCGAGAAGGACAGGCGGAGAGAGCGGAACTCCTCTGGGGATACAACGGGAAGCGGATTACTGTGAGTTAAGTGGACCCTTCAGGCAGTAAGCACCTGCATTTCAGGCAGAGCTCTCAAGGACAGTCCTGTCTATTCATACTCATGAGCCAGAGAGAGCTTTCTAAAAGACAGATTCACTGCCCTGCCCCTGTTATCTCAACAGCTCCTCATCATTGTGGAAACTGGAGCCCTGATCTCTGGCCACTGTGCCCAGCTCTGCAGACTCTGCACGTTATCTAGACCAGTTCTAGACCTTGATGCCTGCAGGGTAACTGAGCTGAGGCCTCTAAATGCACAGCAGGTTTGTGGCCTCAGGGCATTTGCACAATCTCTTCTCTGCTTTTAATGTTCATCCTTCCCAATGTCTATGTGTAAAAACATGCAAATTTGCATAGAAGTTCTCTCTGACTGACTGTTCTTCCAACCGCACTACTATACTTTACACATATTACTTGTTGTTGACACATATTTATGTGTAAACATAAATAACACTTGTTTACACATATTACTTCCATTTACTTGTTGGCACTACTATACTTTACACATATTTTATTATCACTACAGAGTTGTTTAATAATAGCCCACATCTACAATTATAGTTATTCCATTATTATCTTTTGTTTGTGTGACAATTTTATTTAATGGAATTTTAAGCTCTGAAAGTCAGGGATTTTGTCAGGTTTTTTTGTTGTTGTTTTTCTATAGCCCCTGAGTAGTCTGGACCCTGCAGGACGTGGGACGGTGATTAAACCACAGTGGTTCTGTGAGTGGGATGTGTGGGGGAGAGAATGCAGTGGGACCCAGGGTGGCCTCAGAACCCTCAGACACGATGGTGCTCAGGACAGTGACGGGACGGAAAGCTGGGCTGGCAGGACTGACAAGAGTCCCTGAGCCATAGTTGGGGGCCAATGGTGCCCCTCTGTCCCAGGAAGGAGTCAGCCTTGGTATCCCCGAGGGCTTCACCGCTGGCTGGGACCAGTCCCCAGAAGGAGCAGCCCCAGATCTCAAGCAGTGATGAGCTTCAGCACCAGCCTCGAGGTCGCGGTTAGCCGCATTTCCTGTAGCTGGACGTCCCCAGGACATTTCTGTGGCCTCCACATCCCGTAATCCATGACAGTGTTTGGCATAGGCAGACTCAGTTCATGTTACTCACCCTTAAAACTAGCTAAGGGCCCATACTGCATTTAGAGTAAAATCCAGATTCTTCAGACGGCCTTTGTGGTTTCAGGTAGCTGGAGCAGGTCTCTGCTACCACATGGCTTCCTCCCCCACTGCAGCCCACCCGCTTCCTTCTCCTGGGTGGCCCCCCACCGCACCCTGTCCCAATTCTCTTCTTCATACTTGGTGTTGTTTAATTTTTCCATTTGTTCTCACTGCATTTCTCCCAAAGTGGAATATAAGCTCCAGGAGATGAGAACTCTCTCTTCCCTCATTCAAGACCATGCCTAGCACACGACAGGTTTTTCACTACTATCTATGAGTCATTTAATTAGTAAATGTTTATTAATTAAATAAATGATGAAATCACGAGAAGGCTGTCTTTTATTTATGCATTAGCTTTCTAAATAAACCATTTTTTTAAGCCTGTGCATGTATTTCCATGCACAGTGACATTACCAAGGACAACTATGCATTCAGGAAGCGTGAAAGACCCCTTGGGCAACTCCTAACAGTGCTACGGAGTCCGCAGACACAGGCTTGGGAATTCTTTGTAGATGTGGTGTGCTTACAGCAATCACCCTGTTTCTGTTTCATGGGTCACTGATCATCTATGTGGATACCGCTGACTGAGATCTGATGGAGGAAATATAGTAAATATTGCTCAGCAGCATGGGAAACGAGGACAGCATCGTGGTCACCGACCCAGTCCTTACACTCTGGTCCGCAGACGGAAGTCTATGCCATTCACATTCTCTGACCACCTCTCTCACCTCTCACTGGCTGTAGTGACTTCATCCATAGGGGAAGGTGTTTATGTCAGTACAGGGACATGAGCACGCAGCTCCCGCCAAGATCACTCAGCAGGTGAAACTGTGGCAGGGAGGGAGGGGCTGGGAAGGCTCCAAGATTATCCAGCAAAGGGGGTGCAGGAGCGAGCCTGGAAAGGGGAACACTGACGGTGTATTGTTCTTGCGGCTGCTGGAAGAGATGAACTTTACCTATTTACGTTTTTGTTATTTAAAGGTAAATCTGCTCTCTGGAGCAAATTAAGGAAAATAGTACAAACTAAATTTTCTTTCTTGAAGTCCAATGTGTGGGTTGGGTAGACCAGTCCTCCTCCTACTTCCCAGTAGGATCCACCTTCACTCTGCTCTTAATGGCCTGCCAGTTCCCTCCTTTGGACCAAGCTTTGGACTTGATCTTCTTTTCTTCCCTTAGAGCAACTAACTACTCTTGACAAACGGCAGCTGTAAAGTCTTCCATGTCTGTTTGAGGTGCAAATCTTCCAGGACTCAAAGATCTGAGGAGTCTTCCTTTGAAATGAGATCAACTTCAAGAAAGATGGGGTGCTAGGTTTCCTGTCTCCATGGGAGAGTGAAAGACTAACTTCCGGAAGTGGCAATTAATTACTGCAAATGGCCTAATTACATTGCTAACCCCCCTACTTCCCAGTGCCCTCAACACTTTCATTAGCGAACCCCAGCATTTAATAGCCTCCTTGCTTTTATGTCAGCCGAGTCTAACTCCACTTGCTTAACTATATCCGGTGTGATTTTTCTTTAAGAAGACACACTTGCCACTGAAAGTTTCCAACTTTCTCTATTACCCACTGGGCAACTCTGGGCTGAAAATGAATTCAGGAGGGCTGATAGCTCAGGCGTTCGGTTACAGGAGAGAAGAAAACACTTTCCCGATAAAACTTTAAGGGCGAGATAGCGAAAGGTCTATTTTGGGTAGGGCGCCGTACTCCCTACAAAAGACACTTCAGAAAGCAGAAGAACGAGAAACAGCAAGGGAGATGCAGGTGAACAGAAACTCCCGCCCGTTCAGAATTCTAAGCTCTGTCCATTATACTTCACATTTTCTCATCTGCAAACAGAGAAAATCCGTAAAATGAGGGACCAGAAAAGCCCACAGGCTCCGCAGATTCAAGGTTTTCTCTGCGATTCTAAGGCAGAGGTCACTCCTACACCTTAGCAAGATGACATCTGTGGGGCTCCTGGGCTGCTGCCCACGACAGCAACCTGTGACATCCAGGAGGGAGAATGAGGACAAAGAGCATCTCAGCAGGGAAGACACAGAAGTCTGTTAATAAGGGCCATTTTCTCCCACGGCCTTGGGCCTCGATGGGCTATGCTGGAAGCCCAACTCCTGGACTTACCAGGTGGACTGAGTTATTCATCTCTGAAAAAAAAAAAAAAAAAAAAAAAACAACCTGTCTTCTGTAAATTAGAGTTGCTATGCAGACGAGGTGCACTGACAACTGCAGAAAAGACCAGCGAGGGAGAGAGGAGCGAAAGTGATCCCCATTACCCACAGCTGTGCGGCCACAGAGCTGAGGCCGCCCACTGAGGATGCAGGTGAGGAAGAGCTCCGAGCTCTGTATACTCCCTCTCACTGTGGGGCCGACTGAGGCTCTTTGGGAGGAGACAAAGGAGAAACAGTATGAACTCTAACACCAAGCTACCCAGGCATGCAGGAACGGCCTGGGGGCGTTTGGTCTTTAAACATTTTGAAAGTTGCTTACAAATCATTCTCTGGCTTTGAAGGTCAAATTGGCAAGAGGAGATGTGAAAACTAAAATGCCTCCCCAGAAGAACATCTACCCCTAAATTACCTCATCAGATTCCACTAACTGTGGAAGTTGGGCAACTGACACCTTTGGGAGCAAAAGCTAGTATCCCTCTCCCGCTCTCCCGCTACTGTCTCTGCACAGCCCTTCTTACCCTTATGTATTGCAAATTCTGAGTCCCAAATTTTATTTTTCCGTGACACACATACTATTGCTACTGCTCTGTGAATAATGAACATTCACACTTTTACTACCTACTAGCAACACAATTTCTAGCCATCTGACTAATTTTTATGGAGAAAAATAATAACCTCCGAAAATGGAATCAACCTGTATAAACCGTCTTGGCTTTCATTTTCAGGCAATGGTCTTGCCTTTCCATCTGAGTAAATTTTCACCCCAATTTTCCGACTATGTTCATTTTCCGCAGTTGATCACCAAGTTGTTCCTCACAGGTGTTAGTCTAAACCCACGTTCATTCAGTCTATGACAATGACATGTGGTTGATGTGAGCCTTCCAAGGCTTTTAGTCAAGCTGTATTTTTCTGTGCATGTGTGCGTGTATGTGCGCATGTGTGATACAAATTTATATAAGAGATTGAACACTTATTCAGATAATGACAGATTTTTCTCAAAGTTGAACACTTCAAAGCAGCCTCAGAATTAAGCATCTTTTTTATACTGGTTTTACCTATTTTAACACAACCCACACTCCAGTAAAATGAGCCAGCCCTGCACATAATGAAAACTTAGTCCACCCTACCTCAGATGAGTGACCAAACATGAAACCGATGTAAAGAAAACAAAACAAACTCTTCCAGGGCTCCGTAACTCTTGTTTTGCTGGTGAATCACATTTCCTACTGAGGAAACCAGTTCTAACTGAGCTCCTTACCAACTGCTGCCCCTGTCCCCTAAAGAAGGACATAGTGACTCAGGCACCACGGTACCAGACAGACAGCTCCCCGCCGCACAGGGCAGCAGGGAGAGGCACTCACCGTACACTGCAATGGTCTTCGTGTCCTGCAGGATGGCATTCCCTGCAGAGACCTGCACTGTGATGGTATTCATTCCCTCCGAAGTGAACTTGAACGATATGCTTCCCTCCAAGGTGATCAGGGGCTAACAGGAACGACACATAGTTACAGCTGAAACGCCACTACCCCGAGCCACTGACAAACTCAAAATAATTCCACAGAGCATCTTTCAGGGCACCAGCTTGGAACTGTCTATAGCTCCCTGCTATGTATAGGCCAGGCCAGAAAAGAAGCAATGACCCCATTGAGTTCTGCCCCTTCCTGCTATCATCCTGATTCCGGGGTGAGCAAATCAGCAGTTCCCGCTTGTTGGTGAAATACAAGCCTCACTTTTTGCATAATCTACTCACAGGAAGCAGATCCTTAATCCAAGAAACCACACAAATCAAATGAGAACACAGAGCTTGTATTAATCCAAATTTAACAACAGCTGCTGAAATCTATGCACAGCCAGGTGTTCCTCTGCAGGGCATAGTAGTTATACAAAACTACAAGAAATGCAGAAACGCTGGGCACCAACAGTGGACGCTAGTTAGACAGGAGCGGCCTTGGGCAGTGGCATCCTCTGAGAGGCAGCATCAACACATGCCTGGAAGAAGATTCTAAGAAAACAAGCACTAATTGCACTGCAGGTTGTGGTTTGCAGATGTGAAAAAACAGTGTTGGGGGAGTGCTGGTTACAAAACAATCAGATGCCAGCGTCTGAGAAAAACATGATTAGCCTACTGACCTCCCTAGACTCACTCCTCACAAACCACTTTTTCCATATTAATTAGTTTTAAAATAAAAATTCACTTAACTCCCTGTTCGGCAGAGGAAAAACTAGAGCCCAGCGTAAGAAGTCTTCTCAACAGGGTCTGTTGAGAATGAGGTTTTATTTTAAATAGAAAAAGAAAATCTGAACAAACAATAGGTGGCACAGAAGAAAGGTTGCTGGGTGGATTTTCTTCTGGAGCTGGCTTTCAGGAACTAACAATGATTTCTCCTCTTCCACTGTGGAGAATGCACTTAAGCGGGCTGACTTTGCACACATGGTTTCAGAAGCAAGAAGGAAGGGCTTCTGTTTGGACAGAGCTCCTCCCCACCAGCAGGCCGACCACAGGTCTGGGGGCCAAGAGCAATCCTCCCCAGGAAGTGCGCCGAACGACGTCTGCACTCAAAGCTCTTAAAAACGAGCTTCTGTGAAAACCAGATGCAGTGCATCGGAAGAGCAATGCTACCCAGAGGAAGCGAGTCCTGGAAGACGGACTTCTCAAACCAGAGCAGGTAGTTTACCCCAGGGGCCTCTGGGGAAGGATGCCTTGGGGCCTCCACCCTACTGCCCAGCTGACAGTTCATCTTCTGAGCATGGAGTGAGCCCTTAGGGGAAGCAGCACATGCAGGCTGTGTGCACTCAAGCAAAGGTGACATGGAGATTACATGCCTCGGGTTTGCCTGTGTATGAGGGAGCTGCAAGAGCCTGGCGTGAGCCACTTCAGCTTCATCCTTTGCAGTGGAAGCGCTGAGGAAATGCGGCTTAAGACTTTTGAGTAGTTTGAACATTACGGGTGACTTTGAGCACAAGGCATGGTCCGGGGAAGCATAAAATGTGAAAGTGGCCTAAAGACCTGGTGTGTCTGCTTCAGCGTGAGGGGGCCTCTGTGTGTGTGTTTGTGGGTGTGCGTGGGTGGTGGTGGGAGGAAGGTGTTGTCGTGGACGCAGGTTGGTCTTTCCTGTCTGCTGTTCCTTTGCCTCTTTATCTTTCTGGTGACCACCTCCTCTCTTGCGTGGTTCAAATGCTTCCGGGAATGCTGACTTCACCACCTCCCTCTCCATCCCCGGCACTGTGGTCCAGGATCAGCCAGCAGCGCTCAATGCCAGGACTTCTATTAGGACTTCTGGGAAACAGAGCTGAACCCCTCTGCTAGGCTGTGACTGGCTGCTAAGGGGCAGTGCAAAGAAAATCCAACTACAGAAGAACACGGTGAAGGCAGAGACACAGGGGCGGAGGGAGCCTGAGCACTGGTGGCCTCCCGCCCCGGGGCCAAGGGACCCCCGGACTCTTGTGCTCATGAGCTCTCCCATCCTTCTGTGCTTCCCCCAGCACGGCTCAGGCTTCGGTCACCTGGGTCCCTGGACACCACGCGACGCAGACTCACCTCCGTGTTGTTTCCGTACCACCACACGTATGTGAGGGTGCCCACTTGGCTGGGCCACAGAACTGCGGTCGCGTTGACCTCTTTATTCTTTGTGGTGACGAAGGGGAGGGAGAGGTGCACATGCTCCAGGGGACCTGGGACACAAGAGAAAGAGGAGCCGTGGAGGAGCAAGGGCTCCCTCTGCCCCGCAAGGGCAGCACTCACCCCGGAAGCCCCCGACCCCGCAGCCACACCCGGGGGCGGCACTCTGCTTTGTCCATCCTGCAGCAGAGGGTCGCACTGTGAGTGACTGCACCCTGCCACTTCCTGTTCGCAGGCCTTTCTCTCCCTTCTAAAACCTTAGCCAAGCATGCCTGAAAGTTAAAGTTTTACAAATGACTGACAGTCTTTAAATGCACAGACCCAATATAACATTGCTCAGGGAGAGACAAACTCTTTCCAAGGGTTCCACGTTTTGGGTGACAAACTGGAATCACAGAGACTTCATAGAACCGGTGAGGGGGATGAGGGAGGATACATTCCCCAGACCAAAGAATAATTGCCGTGAGTAATATTCTTTACTGTTTAACTCATGCTAAGGAACTGCACGTGTGTGTGTGTAAATCTTATGCTCCTTACTCTTGGCCCCGGTCAGCCTCCAGGCCTGAGCTCAGCACGCCCTCTTCCATGCCTCTCCCCAGCAGCCCCAACCAAATTAAATCTATCCGTTAGAAGTCCAGAACCACGTACGCAGTGCTGGAGATCCTAACTCCGTTCTGTACAGGTCATTTTTTGGTCCTTCTCATCTACAAGCCCGACTTCTTTCTTTTTTTTTTGTTTGTTTCTTTTTTCTGGTACTGAGAATCGAACTCATGACCTTGCACTTGCCAGGCAGGCCCTGTGCCGCTGAGCTAGATCCCCAGCCCCCTGCCTGACTTCTTTCCTTTAAGCCAGGACATCGGAGTAAGGATTATGCGTCTGTGTCACCATGGCAGTGACAAAAATGAAGTCTCACTCCTGAATTATGGTCGCTCACTCGCTCTGTGCTTCCAGATGTTGAGAGTCATTTTAAGAGTGGGGACACCAGCTCTTGGTGGAGCTCAGATACTTCTGCGGGAAGAGGGCAGGGAACACAGAAAGCAGAGCTAGGAGACAGGGTGTGGTTCTGACAGAGTGGTCAGACAAGGCCTCTCAGGGGACAGGAGATCTGAGCAGCAAGCTGAAGAAGTAGAAGACTGACAGAGCGTCCACATGAACACCCCGGGCAGGGCAGGGCCGGGGCTTGGAGGAGGAGCTGCCCTGCCACGTTGCTGACAGCAAGAAAGCCCGGGCACCAGCAGGGGAGAGGTGGAGGCAAGGGGTGCAGGCAAGAGGACCGAAGGGCCTTGGCCTTGTAGGTCCTGAGATGCAGCACACGGGGCTGCGGAAGTTCACACTTACGTGCACATACGCTATGTCTGCACACCTGTCTGAACTTTACCTTTCGGACTTCTATGGCCTTATGCTCAGGGGCGTAAAACACCTGCTTCCTGCTGCGCAGAAGCCTGTCTTTAAGCACCTCTGCTCTACACAGAGGTTACACTCGGCCCCCAAAGCAGCCACTGTCCAGCCAGCTGCCCTAAGCTGAGAGCTGAACTTTGCTCTGGCACACAGGTGCCGGTGATGCACAAAAGGGACAGCAGGTGGCGCTGCGCCACTGTATGAATAATCCTGGAAACGGCTGAGAGAACCTGGGAAATCACTGGTGAGCTGGGGTTCCCTTCGCTTTTCTTGAATAGCTTTCTCGTACTTCAAGAAACAGCTGAGCTCTGTGAAACCGAGCACTGCGTGTTTGCGTGCATGCCACATACACTGATTGCGTTTACATCTAGCACGACTCCAGCATGTATATCCTGGAAACCTCTGACCACTTAATTAAATATTGTGTATTTATTGTACTGCGCTCTCTCTCTCTCTGTCTGTCTGTCTGTCTCTCTCTCTCTCTCTCTGAGATGCTCACATAAAAGCCACTAAAAGAAGTAAGAGTGATTCAGGCCACAAGGAAGAGGTTCTAAAACAGGGCTCCTCAGACTTCAGTGTACGTAGGAAGAATACCGATCTGTTCCAAGCTCGTTACGAGGCCACATTTCCATGACCGTTCGCAGGTCTCGGGTGGGATCATGGGCACTACACTTTCATTATTTAATGAAGGGACTGGCTGCTCTTTGAATAGTACTTTAAAAAACCCTGGCCCTGGGCTGAGGGTATAGCTCAGTGGCATAAGCGCTTGCCTTGCAAGCCTGAGGTCATGAGTTCGATCCCGGTACCAAAAAAAAAAAAAAAAGAAAAAAATCTTCTGGGCTGGGGATTTAGCTCAGTGGCACAGCACCTGCCTGGCAAGCGTGAGGTAGTGAGTTCAATTCCCGGTACCGGGAAAAGAAAAAAACAAAAACAAAAAAACTGTGGCCGGGTGTTGGCCAAGCAATACAATGACAGTGCACAGAACTGCAAAGCCACAGAATTTTTCTAGCCAGGTGGATCACTTCCTCAGACAGGGCCCGAAGACATCTGCACATTGTTCTTGTTTTGGGGAAATGGGTTGAGGAAGGGTCAGCACATCCACTTCATCTTTCTTGCACCTCCCTTTCTGCAAATCTGCAGAGTCCTCAGAGCTTTCTTCCTCAAGGCGGCTGTGACAGGGCAGCCGGCGGAGCAGTGACCTGCGTGCCCTCCCTGTCCTGGGCCCTCCAGAAGAAGGCAAAGCTGGACACACCACATGTCTCATTAGTCTGCCAAGTAGCGGTGCACAGTGAGTGCTGTCCCCAAGGAATGTCCACCCGCCAGACTCGCGCAGATCGCCCAGGCACCCTGCGAGCGCTGCCGGCCCACACCCAGAAACACCACAGCAGGGACATGGGCTCCGTTTGTTCTCTGCGACCTTTGCAAACCCGTACTGAAAAGACGCTGATGTGGAATCAGGTCACCTTCCTGTCCTGGGAAGAGGTGGGCACCTGTACAGAAGACAAGCCGCGGGTCTCCGCAGGCTGGCTAAGGGAGGAGCAGAGGGGAGGACTGGCTAGCTACGAGTGTCTACTGATTCTGCTTTGCCTCAGAACGCACTGGGCCCAATGCCTGCATCACCTTGTGGTGACCGGGAAGCACTAGCTCCCAGGGCGCCGCATACTTTGCTTGGCGGAATCTTTGGGAACACGTTTCATGTCATTTGACAGCGTCAGTGTCGGTTCAGAGGGACAGAGTGACCCTGCCAGGATCTGAATTTAGCAGGAATGCCCAGTGCTGTCCAGGACTTTGGGTTTTGGGTTTTGTTTTTTATCTATAATGCCAGCCCTTCCCCCTCCTCTATGTCCTGGCACTTTGGCACCCAAAGTCACTCATGATACCTTCTAGATGTTATACCCTTGAGAGCATCACTCACAGCTGTTCTTAATCTGAGTTCCTCCTAGTGTAAGAGGAACCCTAGCATGACACAAGTACTCCTAGTGTAAAACCCTGCAAGTCATAGCACTTCTCCGGGCCTTGTGTTCTCTATCCAAAGGAAAGGACCTAAGTCATCTATCATGGCACAGAGGTGAAGACAAAGCATCTGTCTGCATCCTAATGCACTCTGGGTCTTTAGGAGAGAGACGCTGAGTGAGTGTCAGGACCTGCTGAGACTGCTGTCACTTGAGTTTTAGATGAATGTGAGCTACAAGCAGCTTAACGCATGATCCCACAATTAGTATAAAAGTGTCCATTCCTCCACCGGTGCCAGGCTTAGGAAAGTTGTTTCCTGTCTATCCAACCACATCCTCCAGACAAATTTAGAAGCTTAAACTAGAACACAGACTCTCCATTATAGATCATCTCCCACTAAGGTTAAGGTCAAATGTGTCACCGAATCCACCAGGCTGATGAGATGAAAAAATTACACAGAAGCAAAGAACTCGTTTCTTTTGAAAGCCCTGGGCTTTCACGGTCCCTCATCTTGGGCGAGGCAAGTTCTGTGACATTTTCCCTCCCAGGGTTTTGTGGACCAGGGAGGGGTCTTGGGGGCCATGGTGGACCCCTGCAGGGACAGATCACATGAGGGATCTGAAGAATCTGAGGAGGTTGAGCCATGGAAAACTCAATGGGATGCTCTGAGAAATTTTGACCAGAAACTGCTACTGAATTTTACATCTGTATTTACAGCTGCTTGGAGTAGGGTAGGGAAATAGTAAATGTGTGTGCAGTGGAATGCGGCTATAATTCCTAAGGAGGTAACTGTCTGACAGAAATCTCTGCAGGATCAGCTGTGGGAGGCGACATGCTGCTGAACAAGCAGCTATCCCCAGTGAAGTTACTGCTATTTGTGTTGCTAGTTTTATTTTCCACTAATAACTAATGTTTGCGGTGCACTTTTAAAGGTTTTAATATTAGTCTCATGAGATCATCGCTTTTGTTCCCCTAAGTCAGTGGTGGCGAACCTATGGCACGCGTGCCACAGCCAGCTGTTTGTTATCATGGAAAGCCCTAAAAGGTTAGCCATCACTTCCCTAAGTACTGACAGATAGGGATATTATGTCAGAGGCGTACAGAGGGATGGGAGCCTATGCTACAAGCCTGAAACCCATGGAGCCATGTAGCACAGCACTGCTTTTACCCGAAGAACCTGAGCTTCCTCAGGTGATTTGTGAAGCTGTGAAGGGAGACCAGATGCTGGGGGAGACTTGGTTCCTCTAAGCCTGGCCACGGTGGGCAGACGCTGCTTGCAGATCGAGGGATAGGATTCCTGAGATTCAGCCCGAGTGCTGACACGTAGTGAGTGTGCATTTCCCCCGAGGTCCCTGAGCTCTCTGAGCCTCTGTGGAGCAGGGTCTCTCACTGCTCCACTTCCCAGGAATATGTTGGTAGTTAAGACATCCATACTCAGAGCCTATTTGGAGCCAGGCTTGGCTGACACACAGAGTCAGTTCTTAATAAGGTGTAGCCAAAACAGGGAGATTGAGTTGGCAAACTGGGAATCATTCTGACTTTGTGTGGACCTGAGGGAGAGGTCTGTCTCCGTGAAGCACCTCCATTCTGAGTCTACGGGAGACAAAGATTCGCCAGGACTAATGTGTTGCTAGTACATTAGGAGGAACCTTCAGCGACCCGTCTCTTGGGCATCACTAGTCTTGTCCTTTCACTGGACCGTGGCAGCTTTATAAAGCAAAGTTCTAGGTGATGCTCTCTGCATTCTATTTTTCCTATGGGCCAGGTGCACAGGACAGGCAAGAGCAATGCCGGCCTTAACTCACCAGGCACAGAACTCAAAGTGTTCTCGAAGTTAGGCATTCAGACAAAAGAGCTACTTTCATTTTAAACTAAACTATTTTTATAGTAACCAAAGCAGGCTCTAGGACTGCTGGGGACGAGCTCGCCTTACTTACGCTGGAGTATACAGCACACATTACTTAGGAGTCACTTTTGTCTCGTCCCCTCCTGCCTCTGGCCTCCTCCATGGGGGAAGCCCTCAGCATTTCTTGGAACTGTTTCCAACATAGCACAGGTAGTCTGGTTTCTCTACTATAGTCTACACTCCTTCCCTCCAAAGTACTCTCAAAAAACAAGTGATCCACAGATAGAAGCCCAGGAAAGATGTTTTGTTTTAAAAAAGGAGAAAAAGCATAGAGTGATTAGTAAAAGCAAAACATAACATGGGAAGGCAGAAGTAGGCACATAGGGGAGAAATTTTTTTTTTGGTGTTCATTTGATCAAGCTATCCATGTACGGAACTTTCAACATTTCTGACCAAAGGGGAAAAAAGACTAATTCATGTTTCAAGCAAAAGGCCCTGCGGGTGTCTCAGGCCCAGCCCTACAGGCCGGTGCTGCATCTCAGAGGTCCCCTGCAGGCAGAGTAAGTGCCATGAGAACAATGTGAAGGGATTCAGACTTTCCTTGAGTTTTCTTTCTCCTCTCTTACTTTGCTGTTTTGTTCTCTTACTTCTTATTCTCCTTCTGCTCAAAGATTAAAAGATAACTGCTACATTTCCTCTACATAGGAAATGCTGCATTAGATTTTAAAACACCACAATATGTACGATATGTCAAAAATCAACAACAGTAATAACATACAAGTTACATGTAAGTACAGGACAGCGCTGTCAGACCCCAGACTGTTGTCCACTTGCACGGTCACCCGGAAGATGCCCACGTTCTGGTAGACATGCTTGATCCCATCCTCCATGGAGCTGAGGTTGACGTAAGACACCGCGATGCCATCCCCAAAGTCCACTTGGATGAGCGTCCGCTGAACGTCACCCTGCAAAAGAGCCCAGTGTCAGAGGGAAGGGGCTTGGAAGTGGGAGGCCCTCAGAGCTGAGGCTGGGACTGGGGTTGTCCCTGGCCCTAACCTTGACCCCACTCAGCACAGAGTAACTCTGGCCCCCTCCTACAACAGGAAATATCTGTCTATTTTGACAGAGTCTCCGTGCCTCTCCTTGCCAGGCAGGGATTCGCTAAGATAGATACTCTCCAAATCTGTAGGGCACTAACTCACCAAAGTTTCAAGGCTTGGAAAATAGCAGTGTTTGATTATCAGTTTCAATGTGAGATTTAGTTCCTCAGAAGATATTGTTGATCACTTTATCATCCACATGACTCCAAGGCGCATGACACCCAGCTTCAAGTATTTGGCCACCTTATATGACCATGAACCACTTTCAGTATCTTCAAGGCCCCTGAACCGTCCTCCTTATACATGGTTTCTCAACCGTGTTGGAAAAGGATGGACGACACCTTGTCTGACATCCAATATGGCACTAGATTCAGCCCTATCATTAGTTAAGAAATAATGGTTAGCTGGGCATGGTGGCATACACCTGTAATCTCGGCATCCTGGAAGCTTGAGGACTTAGCAAGACTCTGTCTCAAAAAATTACAAAGAGGTGGGGGTGGGGATTTTTCTCAAAGTAAAAGCCCTGGGTTCAACCCACAGCACCATAAAAATAATTACATTATTGACTAATTCTTTAAATTTCAGTATTTGGTAGTGTCAAAAGAATCACCTCTATTATCCATGGAATTTTAGAGTGGAAAAAAGAATAAGCAATGTTCACCCACTGTCCCCCTCAGGAGGCTGAAGTCTGGAGAAGTCTCATCATCTGCCCAAGCGGGTTATTCCGGCCTGCTCATTATCGATGCCACAAACTGCCGAGGGTGAACCCTGAAGGCGTCTTTGAGGCTTGAATCCTAGAGCCACTAGCAAGCTGGATGAACGTGTGCAGCTCGCTCAGCCTCTTCTGGTCGCAGTTACCAGATCTATGAAATGAGCTTAATGAAACCCTACCGCATGAACTCAAAGGGTGGCCAGAGAAACACCCAGGTAACGAACAAACTGGAAAAGGCTATATAGAAACACATATCTCTAAACTCAGCTGTAAAAGACGCACAGTGTTGCTTTAAAGACTGATTAACATCAAGTGATTCTAAATTTCTCATACGCAGAAAGAAGACAAAACGAGTGTTACAAGGTCCCAGACCTATGAACGAGAAATGGCATGGGAATGACAACCTAGATTTTCAAGGAACAAAGCTGCTTATATCTAATTGGCAAAAAACAAGCTTCCCTCATATGCAGTGAGTCCATGCTTTAGCTTCCTTCCTTCCTTCCTTCCTTCCTTCCTTCCTTCCTTCCTTCCTTCCTTCCTTCTTTCCTTCTTTCCTTCCTCTCTTTTCTTTTGTTCTTTCTCTCTCTTTTCTTTCTTTCTTTCATACCATTTCTCATTTTCAGGGAAATTTTTTCTTAGAAAACTTTTGAACTAGAAATGTATTTTCCATTAAGTAAGGTTCATATGGTATCATATTCTTTGAAAAGGCCAAGTTTAAAATGCTGACATTTAAAGGATTAATTTACAGGAAGAGGAAAAGCAGTTCCGACCCTCTGAATCCGCGTGCCCCCCGCCTCTGATCTGTGCCGGCCAAGCGCTGCGTGGGGCACGGAGCAGCTAATTCCCAGAAAGAACGAGTGCTGCTCTCCTTAAACACAGGAAAAATTCTCCCCTGAGGGGGGGAAAAGAAACTCCACCAGAAACTAGAAAGAAATATCAGCCAGCTCAGATGCTGTACAATCACTTCAACTTCTCTCACTAAAAAATAAAAACGTCAACTGATCTTGCTCACTTGTCTTTCATTCGGAAAGCCCAAGTGGACCGATCAATCTTGCGTTTCTGGGGAGTGTGCACTTCCAGGTCTCACGGCTTTGCACAGCTTTGCTGCAAGCCACGGCTAGGCATGTCTGGGGGAGAAACCCGTTTATTGAAACCAGGAGCTGAGCCAGTATCGGGGCAGATGGGGTCACTCACTGTGTAAGACACACAGCAGGTTCCACGTGGGACAGCTGGGCAGGGGTCGGGACAGGTCTGGGGTGCTTTGTGGGGACACGGGAGGCACAAGCAGGGCTGTTATTTGCACGGGGACTGGGGGACAGTGTGACAGTCACATTTTCAGCCAATTCTACTTCAACTGCCAGTGAGAAAGCAGCCATCCGCACAACACGGAAGACTAAGATTTTAGCTGCCGTTGCCTGAGTCTTTTTGCCGTGCCATTTCTCCATTATTTCCTCTGGTCGGCCTGGATTTGGGGGTCCTGTCAAGTACACGAAGCCACCCCCAGGTTCCGTCCATCTGGGTGTCAGGCTGGGCTTTTGGCTTCACAGAACTCCTAAGTCTATACTCATGACGATGTTCACTATGCACATGGCAGACGCATAGCAGGGATGCAGAGGGAGCTTCTGCGTGCTGGCATGAATGCATCAGGGTTTGCACTACAGATTCAGGCTTGTAGGACACACACACACACACACACACACACACACACACACACTGCAGATATGTACCAACCAAATTAACACATGTGGTCTGTGTTTTCAAGAACTTACAACCACTAACAAGGAAGATGCACTTGCAATAATCAAAAGCGGTGCATAAAAATATTGCAAGGGCTGAGGAGGAGGAGGGGCACACAGTGTTTTATGTTTGTGCAAAAGGGAGAACTGGAAAGTTAATCTAATTGTCAGCTTCAAATAAGCATTATCAGTCAATTTATCCACCCCGTTCACTCCCCACCGAGTTCCTTTCATTGAAAGTCACTTACTCCATCCTTGGGAGTGGGAGAAAGGGGGGGTCTGAGACAAGGCACTGTTTCCTTTCCTTGCGTGACTTTATTCCTGGCTGTGACCATTTGCCCCCACCCCACCCCCATCAATATTTTTACTTACACATCGCTATCTAAGGACGAACTGGCATGCATTTCACACTCCACACCTCCCATCGGCCCGCTGGTAAAACCATTTTATGTTTCAGCCATGAAGATAACAGAAAATATGAGAACGAGGTGGGGCCCACAGTGAGTAGCTGGAGAATTCTCCTGTATAATTGAGAGTTACCTCAATCTAATAAATGAAAAATCATCATTTTTCCAACTGAATCCAGGCGGGCAAGCATGTGGGTTACCACGTACACTTCTTCAGGTCTGGTGCCCCTGACTCATATACTGTAACATAGTTACAGAACCCGGAAGATGAGCTCCAAAGCGCCTGCAAGTGGCAGGGAAGCCACACGGGGCTTCTCGGAGGGCATCACTGATTCTGTAACAGGAAAACAAATACATCAAACGGCCACAAAGAAGCCCAGATTAACCTGAGCAGTGAAAGGTGTGTGAACCTATCAGTTCCTGTAACGTGGACTGAGAGACAAATAGGGAAATAAATATTACGGTAAGTCAACCTTGACAGCTGGTCCAAACGGGAGCCCCTGAGACAGCCCTGAGTGTATCAGAGACTGCTACCGCTGCAGACAGCAGAAACTACCGTGTCAGACCCTGGCCCTGTACAGCTGCACGGGGCCTGATTCCAGCTCCAGAGACATTTGTCTCAGGAGGAAGCTTAAAGATCATCCAAAGAAAATCACAGAGAAATGACTACTATAACCCACTTTTATTAAAAATCAACAGAAATGATACAGTATCTGCACTATGCACCTGGGTGTGCTGGAGTAGGAAGGGAGAAGGAGTGACCCAGGCTGAATACTGACTACCCTGGAGCGGAGGAAAGGGCCAGGCAGGGAAACAGCCGCAGGACAGAGCACCAGTGGGTAAACAAGGGCAAGTCATGAGTTCACCAAACTTAACAGGGAGTGGGGTACACATAACACAAGAAACATGGAAGAATACAGTGCTATTCTCTACTAGTACTGTAAATATTGATTGACTATATGGAAAATAACCATCAGGTAACACAGACACTGTGCTGTTTGAGGATGACATACAGTCAAACTTTGGTTTGGAGCATCTGCTGTTATTTTAGTGCTGGTCTGACTACAGATTAGGACAAAAATATCATTAGGCAGCATTGAACAACGCAGAAAACCAGCTACGCATGTCAGCCCTTTGTTCGCATGGCTGCGGACATTTAGGCAGGGCAGGGCTGAGCATCACTGCTTTGCAGACCTGCTCCAGGTGGGTCGACAATGATTATCAAGGGCTTGTCCAATGGGAAAGCTGGTAACTATCCTACAGTGTGACCCAGCTTTCAAAGATAGCAATCATTATCCCATAGAATAAGAATATGGGGGGAAAATCCTATCCACATTCCCTTTTGTTCAAAAGTGGATGAACTTAGGCAAAGAAGAGTGAAGGTAAGATTGCCCTACATTCTAGAACATTCTCTGGTAGTCACTGAGGGAGAAATGAAAGAATGCTTCTTAAAAATTTACTGTGCCAGAAACAACAGCAACTAATTTCCAATATCTTATCTTGCTTAATCTTCAGCTGTTAAAGACTCAGACCTGTTTAATTTTTCTGAGAAGCACAAGCATAGTTTGAAACACGCTCTCCTAATCCCAGTCATACACTTCTACTAGTCCCTCACAGAAGAGGCATGGACTGTTCCATGGAGCTCATTCTCAGAAAGTGCCAGAAATGTGCAGCCATTCATCTGAGAGCAGACGGTTCCTTTCAGCAGCCTCACCAGCTGCTGAGGTTTGAATGTCCCTTCAGGGCTCCTGCACTGGAGACTTATCTCTAAGGTCCTGGCGTGGAGGAGCTTTACTCTCAGGAATGATGAATGCCATTCTCACGAGACAGGGGTAGCTGTTGCACAAGTGGTTCCTCAAAGAAGCCTGGCTTGGGCCCCCTTCTGTCTTAGTGTAATATGCCAGGCTCTGCCCGGTCCCAGGGAAGCTGAAGCCTGTCTCCGTGAGGATCCCGGCGGTGTGTGTGACAAACACTGAGACACCTGAGGAGGAAACACGTGTTGGAACAGTG